ATGTATTTCCAGTAAAGTCTAGATTATTTTCTTAAGCCATAATCAAGGCAAAAGTTTACTTTAAAATACCTGAAATATTGTTTATGGGAATGATGCCAGTTTGCCAGATTGAGGATGGTTTCCTGTCAGTGGGGAAGAAGGACAGGTTTAATCTTATTGCAGCTATTGAAGAAAAAGGTGGCAATGACATTGTTATAGCTCGCATGGATGCTTAGAAATAGGCAGAACTGGGCTCCAAATCCAGGCAGGCTTGATTCCACAAAGGAAGAACTGGGCTCCAAATCCAGGCAGGCTTGATTCCACAACCCATCTATATTGGTCCATTTTCTGTTGCCAATAATCTATAAAATGAATAAGTTATGAAGAAAAGAGTTTTATTTTGGTTCCCAGTCCTGGAAGTGCAAGGTGTAAGGGTCCCATCTGGTGATGATCTTGCTGGCAGAGTCCTGAGGCCACACAGAGCAACACATGACAAGAGGCAGGGAGTGTGCATGTGAGTGTGTGTGTGTGTGTGTGTGTGTGTGTTTTGGTCTGTCTTCCTTTTCTTATAAATCTGCCAGGGTTTAATCATGGGCCTGGCATGATAGCACATGCCTGTAATCCCAGCAGCTCAGGAGACTAAGGCAAGAGGTTCTCAAGTTCAAAGCCAGCCTCAGCAACCGGAAGGTGCTAAGCAACTCAGTGAGACCCTGTCTCTAATTAAAATACAAAACAGGGCTGAGGATAAGGCTCAATGGTAGAGTGCCCCTGAGTTCAATCCCTGGTACAACCCCCCAAAAAAGATTTAATTGGGAGAGCTCCACTCTAATTACTTTATCTAACCCTAATTACCTCCTGAAAGCTCTGCTTCTAAACACCTTAGTTGAATGAAGTTTCCACCCACATTGGAGATTAAATATATGAAGTCTTTGGGGGATGCACTCAAACCATATCTAAACCATAGGGCCATCTTTCCTACAACACTATGCAGTGCACCTATTACATGTCTCACAGGAATATCTTAATTACACAGGTTGCTTTCTTAATGTGCCTGAATCACTATGGGGTATCTGATTTTATTTTCATTTAGAATCCATTTGGCTTTTGATTTACATAATATAAGCCAATGGAACTTCCCTGATACTGTATTATCAATTTGAATAAATGATTTTGTCTTAGAAAAAAATATATACGTATTTAGATGTATCCTATAATTCCCTGAAGGATTACTCTGAAGGACCCCATGAAAGTCAGATGCTGGGGCACTATGAAGTCACATGGCCATTTAAAGCAAATGAAATCAGCATTCTTTTAGAGTTGAATGGAGTGCTTCACTAACTTTGAGACTTTGGAATAACACCAGAAAAATAGAATCACCTACAAGATGATCAACTCCCAACCAATACAGTCATTAGGAAAGATCTCTTAAGTATTTTGAGAGCTCCCATTGTAAAGTCTCAAGAGAAAAATTGCAGATTTCCTTGAAAGACAGTGCTCTTTATTCAGGAAAATTGCCCAGGCATCAGGAAATTTAGTATAATTATAAAGAACACTGTATAATCTTATAAAAATAACCAATAACCACTCTCTTTTCTTCCTTAGTATTTGTGGTAATAATTTTTCCTCATTCCTAGGAATGATTTTGACTGCGTTCTGATCCCAACATACTTGTATAAAAGCTGGCATCATTTGGCTTCTGAATAACAATGGCCATCTTTGGGCACCCTTAGGTCAGGAGTGTTGAGAGGGATCTACTGTTCTTATGAGCAAGGGCAATCATGCTTATGCACTGATGTGATGATTTCTTTACTCAGAGTCAGAAAGTCTCTGAGTAGGCCTCACATACAGGCTACCAATTTAGAGAAGCTATTCAGAAAAGGTGTCAAGGTGGAATCTTACGTTTCTAAACTCAGGGACAAAATAAACTCCTCGGAGTTTTCCCATAAGTCAAAGGAGCATGTTGACATATTTTAAAAAGATATGATAAATATCAACCTGGATGAACTCATTTGATTATAATTGAAATGTGAAACCATTTAGCATTTATGAACATTTTTAATCTTAACTACATTCAGAGAGAAAGAGAAATGCATTGACACATGGATCAGTTAGGGTTGTTCATGAAGAAAGAGTGGTACAAATGATCTCATTTCAAAGTAAATATGTAATTCAGGTTAAATCTGATGTGCAACCTTAATCACACCATATTTTTATTTTTAAATAAAATCAGATTGATTTTTTTTAAATAGCTAACATCCCACAATGTTTTCCCAACACTTAGACTATCTACGTGCCCCTTTTCCAGAATAATATGTGAACTATGAGAAGATTAATGTCAAAATGACCACAGTAATTTATTAGACTAAAATTATTCCATAGAAAATCTTTTGGGGAAACTCCTCACATTAACTGAATTCAAATTCAAGTCCTCTATTTTGATAGATGGGCTGGTATTTAAATTCAGATCTACAAAAATAAAATGATGTCTGGCATGGTGGCACATGCCTGAAATTGCAGTGGCTCGGGAGGCTGAGGCAGGAGGATCCTGAATTCAAAGTCAGCCTCAGCAATGGGGAGGTGCTAAGCAACTCAGTGAGACCCTATCTCTAAATAAAAAATACAAAATAGGGCTGGGGATGTGGCTCAGTGGTTGAGTGTCCCTGAGTTCAGTCCCTGGTACAATCAATCAATCAATCAATCAATAAAACCAAATTCTTGGCTAATGTTGGGCAAGGATCTGGCCTTTGGTCTTCTTCAGATGGGATTCCTGATAACCCAAGGGGTTCAAGCAGAATTATAAGACCTTAGACAAAAAGTCATGCTGATGCCAAAGTATAACCAATCTAAACATTTAGGACCCCCACTCAATAGTTTTAGTTACCCAGCCTATTATCCTGTGCATATTGTGAACAAAGGCTTCTCTGCTCCATAGGAAAATAATGAGGTGCTTGGTAAATGAAAGTGGTTCACAATTGTAATGATATGTACTTGGGAGGCTGAGACTGAGGCAGGAGGATCACAAATCTGAGAGCAGCTGAACAACTCAGTGAGACCTGTCTCAAAATAAAATTTTAAAAGGGCTGGGGTTGTAGCTAAGTGGAAGAGCATTTGCCTAGCATGGGTTGAACCAACTGAAGAACTAACAACACTCTAGACCTGAAGTCATGTTCATGCCCATGTATAACCAGAACCATCTACTGCCATATGTATACTGGGAATAAAGGCTACTCTGACCCCTAAGTAAAACAAATCCATTTTTATATACAAGTTAGGATACATACAAGTTGCTTTTTACCTAAAACTTAGGAAAAATATGAATTTATGCAAATACAGTCTCAACACAACCTCCAGGAAATCATCTTGACAACCCATTGTGCAAAGTTCTTTGTTTTATTGACCATAAATGATGGTTCAAGGTAGTTTTATAGTCAGTTTTCTTGGCCCTGCTTCAATTCCAATTTAAGAGAGTACTTGAAATACTGTATTCTTCTAGTGGCTGCAAACACTCTAGGAATTTGATGCTTTCCAGAATAATCTGTGCTTGTTATGTAAGTACAATCAAAGACACTTTTTCAGAACCGAACAAAAGAGATTAGATCCGCTTTAGTTTAAATTGTCTAAAGAGTTCTCAGTCATGAATTTGCTAATGGCTTTAGCACAAATAAGGGAAATAGAATCATGCATTTTTATTAGGTACCCAAGAAGCCTTTCAGTCTCAGGTTCTTCTGGAGAGTTCTGCCACCCTGGCTCTTCTTTTAACAGCTTGGAAACTGTCTTGCCTGATTAGGAAGTTAGTCATTTCACATTTTGACATCTAAAACAATGAGAAGTTGAAAAACCTCACAAATTACATTTTGAAGTAACAGGATACATCACTTTATAGAAAAGCACAAGGATTTGTGGCGCCTGGCTTTGTTCTCCTTAATCCTATTTTACCTTTTGAGCGTCAGATGTTTTGTAAACATCTGCGTCTGAATTCACACAATATGTGCTGATCACTAAATCTCTCATTTGGTATAAAAACATTATTATTACATCTTAAGAGGGTTTGTGTTCTGGGATTTAGGCTTCCTTCTATTTGGTGTGTATTAGTCAGTGCTATTCCAGCCCAAACACTATGTTCACATTCAGTTTTGAAGCCTGAATCAGGTTTAAATATACAATGTTGCCTATTTCCAAAAGGAGTGATCAAATAGAATTTGGAAAATGTCCTTACAGTCCTCATTTTCTGGAAATTGTTTATCCCTTCTTGTTTTAGAAGCTGTCCCAGCCTTGGTCACAGACATCCCCTGAGGCAACTTTTCTGTTTATTTTGTCCATTTAAGGTTAACATATTAGGAATTTTGCTACTGAGAGTTTAAAATAAATACATTTGAAGGAACTTTCTCAAAGCTCCTGAGCCGACCCCTGCCTTCCTCCCTGGCTACATTGGCATTCCTTCCACAGGGGCAATATTAAGGCCCAGCGTTCAAAAACATGCAGCATTCTGGGGAAATGATACAAACAAACAAACAGAACAAGAAATGGGCCTCTTTATTTGTATATGCAGAAAAATAAGAAATAAAATTTATTCTAATGAAGTTTCCCCTCAATTGCTTTTTAAGATAAATTGGCCTGTGAAAATAACCCACTCTTGTAATGATGTCAGAGGTCCCTTTTATAATTCTGGAAGAGGAAAATTAACAAGCAATGATGATCCTTCCAGGTTTAGAGAACACAAATCATTCATATAAATGTTTGTAAAGGAAATTTAATTTCAAAAATGAACACTCTTCTCCTTTTGATTCATGAAACAGCCATCATTTAACCAAAATATAAGTTTATGGTCCTAGGATCAAGAACAATTGAATTTTAACATGAATGGTATCTTAAATCTGACCAACCTTTTTAAACCTTGGTTTAAGTAAGATTAATGATGATGTGACATTAACTAACAGGTTTACCGGACAACAAAAATACACTCTGATGGTATCTTATTCCACATGCTAGCGAACAAATTATGCATCATTTTTTTTCTACAGGAAATCTGAAGAGTTTAATAACAAAACCTCCAAGGTCAAAATGAATACAGGTATGCTGTCTCCATTAGTTTTAAACTTCTTAGCTTTGCTCTCTAAAAATCATCTTGGCCCCAAATCATTAGTTTATCACTCTTCTGATACTAAATGTGTTACTGAGTTTCTGATTAGCTATATAGTCCAGATTCATTCCTTTATTTCTTTGTCTGTGTGCTACAATCTCATAGCCATCAAAAGGAGTTCTGTTACATACTCTTACTCTCTTTTTCTCTAATCATCTTTTAAAATTAACTCCCCAAAATGCTAAGTATTGTATGCCCACATTTGAAATTTCTCACTTAAGATGGACTAAATTCAAAGACAGGTTGCTCTGGTGAAAAATATTTAAACTTTCCCATTCTATAAATTCTATGTTGACAACGTTGGCAGATAGAATGTCAAAGCATCATGCATAGAAAGTCACTTTAATTAATTCATAATCACACACATATAGACATAAGCATTATATTTTTAGATTGTCTCCAAACTTTATGGTGTATATTTTAATCATAAAAGTGTTTGTGATACATGGGATGTACATATGAAATATAATTTTTTCTACCTTTTAGATATTTTGGTTTATAATTTCATCTTCTCCCCAACCCAAGTCTTATATACCAGTATTAAGTAATTCAGGAAATGACTTTCTCATTGAAATTTTGTTACTTGTGTTTAAACCATGTCATTTCCTATTGTCCAGCAAGTGCTGCTAGGAAGTTATTTTAGTCAGTCAGTCACTTTATGGCAGAGAAAAAAGAATGGCTTGAAATATTCTTTCACATCAAGCTCTCTGACATTTTGCTTGTATCTTAATATCAAAGTGCCTAGAGGAAGAATTAATAACCCGCTAGTGAGAACGAATGTCTAATCCCCAGATCAACTGTAGGGACACATACTATGTCCATCTTTCCCTGGCAGCCCCTTAACAGAAACCTGCTCTAACTGGCCTAGATTATGCTGTGTCCTGAGGTTGCAACCGGCTTGTAGACACGTGTAGAGCAACAGGCAAGATGAGGGTATTGGAGATGCTCAAAACAGACAAGCATGGCTTAGATGTCAAGAGAAATGATGCTCTTCCAAACTAAACAAGTAAAGGCATTTCAAGAATTGGAGGTATTAAAATTGGTCATGGAAAATGAAATAAGAAATATTATTAGGCAAAGGACAGCAAAGAAATCAAATAGAACATAGAGCCCTCAGCTGGTCTAGGAAAAACTCTGTTGCCAAACTCAATCAGCACATTTCCATTTAAGGGAGTGGTATGTGCTGATTGATCTGAGGCATCTCTTTGGAGGCTTAAGTTGAACATAACTTCCCAATATCCTTCGTTTTGTTGGGTGCTGATTTTCCTATTTATTATAGTGCTATTGTGATATATATGTATATGTGATTAAAGTAAATATACTTTATTCATGTACAATATATTCTGCATAATTGATCTTCTATTTATATAATTCAATCCCTAATGACAAAGGTAGGTGCAAAGAAATTTTTAAATCTGTGTAAGTCTCATACTAGAACAAAGTTACTACTGAACTTCCTAAATATAACCACAACCGTCTAAAACATTCTCTCATTTATTAGATAGAGTAAACCTGATTCTGGATGAATGTTAAATTGCATAGGATTATTTTGCTTACATGGGTGAATTTACTTAAGCATATACGCATAAGAAATATGACTTTCAGACTTAGACATAAAAATTGATTAGAAGTTACTTAAACCCTTTGTTTTAAACTCCAAAGAAATGTTATAATGTGGCTATAGAAACATCACTTTAAAATGTATATAAAGAGGCTAAATAGAAATCATTTTAGAAAATTGTAAATGTTGTTGCTGTATTTACAAAATAAAGTAGGAATTAGTTTCTAAATAACTAGTAAGTAAAACTGGCCTGGGTTATCTATGTAGCAATCATTAAAGAGATATATCACAACTTAAATATCTACATGTTAGTCACTATAATTTAAAAATTACTTTAAATCTAATCTTTGCTTTCAATCAAATACATAATGAACTGGCCAAGGAGGATGTGATTCATTTTTTTTTCATTCTAGATTATCTAAACAATGGAGGAAAATATATGAAGCATGCTATATTTTCACTCAGAATTTGTAACCCATTATTTTCGTCGGCATAGAAATTAGTTATTGAAGAAAAGAGAGAAAAAGACACCAAATAATTCATTGAACATGGTTTACCCATGTGAATGTTCTCTAGCAGTGGAAAAACCTTCTCCAGGGGTCTTGCATCTTGGTAGAATCGTGACTCAGAGGCTGTAGATCAAGAATAGTTGTGAAGAAGAGACCAGCATTAGGATTCCTTCAGATGAACTGATGTATAAAAGATAACTTCCTCATTTTGAGTCCTTAAAAATATTCTCAAGAAATACCAGAAAGTCTCAATACATAGTACACTATAATGGATTTCTCTGTTTTCTAAATTTCACATAACCTTGATTTTTTAAAATAAGCTCTTTATTAAATGGTAACAAAGACAGATTCTGCATTTACTTAATCAAAGTTTAGAGCTGCCTGAAACACATAAATTGTTTAGCCCAAAGATTTCCAAACTTCCTTGGTTCAGAGTGTCTCAGTAATTATTTTCATCAAGCTTTGAGGCCAAATGAAATATCTAACAATTCTATTTATTAGAAGATGCAAACAATTCAATCACTTAATAATACTTAATAAGTTTTTATGTGCTAACAACTTAAAAGCCATTTGACAAAATAGTCATGCAAACTAAAAGAAAATATTAATTTTATTTCATTCTTTATAAACACAATTACTTAGTAATGTTAATGGCTGTGGTACATTGAAAAACTTCTCAGACTGTAAGGTTAGATTGTACAGGGCCAGTCTCACTTTTACAGGGCACTTGGTTTTCAACATGACAACCACCCTCAATTCAGTTTTTCAAAGATGCATGTCACCCAAAGGCACAGACGTTACAACCTGTGAGGTAGAAACTTTGCTCTTCCTCAAGTTATCAGTTCACATAGCATCCATCAGATGTTACTGTATTTTCCTCAAAAATGGAGACAGCTCCCAGCGTCCCTGTGAATGTACTGAGACAGCACAGTGTCTGTCAGGCCACAGTGAAAACACCAAGTTTAACAAATGGTCCTGGATCTTCTCATTCTGGAATTTTCTGTTTTTATCTCTGCTTATTTTCAGATATACAGAATCAAAGAACCACAAAGTAAAATGATTGAGAGTGCTATCAGTTTTCAGTTCCAACACCCTTGACTACCCAACCCGCCCTAGCTGCTAGATACCTCGTGTCCTGGGACATCAGTTCCACATTAGCAGACAACTTGTCTCTTGGCTATTTTCAGTTTGTCATGTTTATTAAAATCCTGTCGGTACTTCTCTTGGAGTTACCTTCAGTTTCCATCATTTGTGTTTTTCTCTTTGGGTTGTTAATTATAACCTTTGATTCATTTGGCTTATTTTCACCTAATGTTGTTTCAAGTTAGGTTTCTGGTTTATTTATTTTCTATATTAAGAAATTGTGACTTTAAACATATATTGTTAAGTTATATGAGAATAATTCCACCAACTTTGAATTCTACTGACCTTATTCTTTGTGACTATTATCAATAACTAATTCAAATCTTACTTCCAAGTGTCATTACTAAGCTCAGTTCTCTCGTGTCTAATGCACTAAATGGATATGTTTCTCTATGAAATAAAGAAAAAGAAAAACATAGGGATAGCATATCACAAAATATGATGATTGTATTATCTTGTTGATGGTTGCGTTATTTGTTCTTTTTTGTCTTAGCTTTCAAAAAGACAAAAACTTGTTCTGACTTAATGATCAAAATGAGGAGAGCAAGGGATGCTATTACTGCACACGTTATAATACAAAGGAATGTGGGAATGGAATTCATATCTGGTCATAAATAGAACATTAACCTTTCAATTTTAGGAGACTTGTCTTCCAGATTTAGAAGCCTAAACTTCTCATAGCACATAAAACGTCTGATGCATTTGCACTTATTTTACTTCACATCACAATGTGTTTAAGTATAAATATAGATCATTGTTCAAAAGTGTAGAAGCAACAAATTAGTTTTTAAAATATGCTCATTTTAATACTGTACAGAGGAATGTTTTTCCTGATTTTAGGTGGGCTAATCATTTCCATAACTCTGGGAAGACATGGAGTTTCCCATAATGCTGTTTCTTTATAAATCCTATATTATCAAGTATATCAGGCCTATGTCACCAAATTAGTTTTATTTCAAGCTATCTTCAGGAATCATAAAAGCTACAAGACAGTAAAACCTAAATGATTAATACAAAAGTATATTATAACTATAGAGCTTAACTATGGACAGTAGATAATCCATAACTCTAAAAGCTAGCTATACTGCTTATAGAGTTATGCATTGAATTTAAATGGTATAAAAACAGTTGAGCTCTGTGCCTATATTTTCATTAACAAAAAAAACATTGAATGTTAAATATAAAACCTTTTGTTTTTTTCCTAAAGCATTGGCATCTATTTCTGAGACAGACCCCTGGGGGTTTTTGTTTGTTTGTTTTGTCCGTTTTAGGGGATGGGTGTGAAATTTGCAGATGTGCTCCATGGTTACTAATTCTGACTGTTCATCTCCCTCATGAGTGTTTGGCACATTTCACTTAAAACGCATGATTTTGCATGTGCTTCCTCTGTTGCCTTGGCTTCTGCTATATCATTTTTTTGCTTCCAGATAGCGGTGGGTGCGCTCGCAAACGTGCTGCCATGTCTGTTACGTTAACATCTGTGAAGAGAGTTCAAAGTTCTCCAAACCTATTGGCCGCAGGTATAATACCACTAACTCACAGAAAGAATGTCACACTTGAATGGCTGTACCTGACCTCTCTTTCTTTCCAGAATGATCTTATTTGGATGAGTACAGTGGCTGTAAATACCTTTCAAATGCCCCCGAGTTCTTATTTTTCTTATCCCAAGAATAGATTTTATCCCTTCTAGCTGTTTATGTTCTAAAAATAAAAGGTCAAAAGAAACTGATATCTTGTAGAACACATTTAAAAATTTAATTAAAAACAACAGACACTTGCCAAAAACATGTTGAATAAGTGTAAACGTTAATAACTGTTCAAGTTTTTGTTATCTCATAAAATAAAGTAACATCATATCTCATTATGATAACTCATATGTTCCTTTGGTGATATAGGGGTCAGGAAGAAATTCTGGAAAGCCAATCTTCATTAATTTGCTTCTTCACCAAAGACTACAAGCAGAATGATAGAATATTAGTTTTGAGAGAAAGTCCTTACCCTTTCATTAATCAGCAAAGACCCATCTAATACATATTTTTAAATATATGAAAATCTTGACCAGTTAAGATTAATGTGTACCTACAGATAAAAATATACCCTAGAAAGTCACTGAGGGTGTGACACTCTGGCAATCACTCAGGTAGTCTCTTTATAACAATGACTTTCCTAAGCCCTCAGGCACAGTCTCCCTCAGGAGGGGGCTGCAGTTATAAAAGATCAGTGAGCCCAGAAAAAAAACCCTATTCCTAGACTCCAAAACATAGCCAAGCTTTCTGATGGCTGGTTGGTTGGTTTCATTGTTGGCTTGTTAGTTGTGGTCTCTGGTTTCAGAGCAAAATTGGGAAAGGGGTAAAAAGTTTTTAAATAAATTTAATTCTTACTATGCATATCACAATCTTTTACTCACATACATTTAGAAGTTGATTAAATACTATAGGCGTCCTTTGCTTTAAAGCCACCAGATCCTAAACTACCCAGTTTTGTTGAAGAAAAAACAAACTTTCATATCCAGAATCCCACTTCTATTTACCATCTCCAATTCACAAATGGATTTCAATGTCCAAATTCGAATATCAGGCCAGGAAGTTTCATAATATGTTAAGATTAAAAGACTTCAGGTTGTATTGCAATGTATGTTGTATGATCTCATTTTTGGTTTCAAAAATCTCTCTAGATACATTTGTACAAATTTTATTCATGTGTTTATAAACATGACAAGGTGTTACAAAACCTATAGGCATTTACATTAGATACATCAGGGAAATAAAAATGAAAGGAGGTAGGGAAATAAATAAAATACAAGCCAGAGCCATCATGTAATTGGAATGCCTGTACCATGACTATCATTTATCAAGTATAATCTCAGGTGTGGACCACTAATGTACTCCTGAGGCATGACATCAATGCCAATTTACTATTATTTATAAAAGTAGCCACCAAAAGACAGTATTAGATTGAATAGAGATTGCCATTTTGGAGTGTCAAAAGTTAAACATGAACAATTTCCTATCAGTCAACTTGCTAGAAAAAAGATGCCATGCTTCACAATCCTAATAGGAGAAAAATTTTAACACTTCAGGAATATGAAATAATCTTCAATGATAAGACTATATACTGACTCTGAGCTATTTTATATTTTATCTCAGTATAAGTAAGATTTCTAGAGAATAAAGTCCCCTGAATTTTGGATGTAATTTTTAAAACAGACACATACGGTAATCTTAACTGGTTTAAGGAAGTTTTAATTACATTTTAAAGAAAGAAATCAGTATCTATTGTGTCCAATCACATTTTGAGGGAGCTTTAATAAGAATATATTTGACCGTCTTTATGTGAATCAAAAGGGAATTAATAAGTATTTATTACATTCAATATTCTCGAAATTCAACAACCTTTCCATAAACAAACACAAGATTCCACCCCTCCCCCAAGCCCCTTCCAGATCAGAAGGTCCGTAGGTGTCATCAACTATTCATCCCCTACATCACTGTGTCTCCTCCTCCTCTCATCAGAAGTGAAGACCCATAGGATAATGCACCATCTCTCACACCGATGTTTCAAACCTAGGCTAGGTGCAAAATGATGATTAAAGAGAAACATCCAAAGTACATTTCACTTAATCAAAAACCCTTGGCAGTCTGAGGTGACATTGGTAAGGATGCCATGCGTGACAAGACCACTCTACCAAGAGATAGTCTTGCCAATATCACCGGTGTGTTTTATGCCCTTAAAAAAAATTGTCTGTACCTCAAGTTTTCTTCCTTAAAAAAATAGAATGTAATTGTCACTTTCCTGCCTCTCTGAGAACATCATTTCCCAAATCCACAAGGCCTTGTCAGAATTAAATGAAGGTAACTAAAGAAAATAAATGAAAAGACTTATTATGGTACTTAGAATCATGAACTAATTGACATGAATTTAAGGTCTACTTTAATTCTTACAAAGCACTAGAGCCCTCTAAAGAAATGCATTATAAGGATTAAAGTCCTCATAATTTTCAAGAAAAATATAGGTGATAGTGTCAATATAGTACATCAGTTAAAAGGAATTTTAATAAAACCTGAGCATAAAGATTGTGATGTGACAGATAGGCACAACCAACACAGTCACATGAAAACTCTGATGTTAGAATCATAAAGTTGAGAAGGTCCTTTGAGGGCCAATCCCTGACAACAGACCAGGAATATCTTAAATATCTCTGACAGGTATTCAGCCACTAAGGCCTGGACACAGGACAAGCCCATTGTGCAAGTGAGGAGCTTTGACAAGTCTCAACCCTCAAAGACCCTATTTATTTTCAGATGCAAAATCTCATTTTGTCATTCTTAACATTTCAGGCAAACAATGCTGTCTACTAAAGAACACTAGAAACTAAGGATTCTGATTGTTAGAATCTTAATTCTGATTCTTCACAAGTGAATGATCCTCAGTGATGTTCAAGATCTGGGGCAAAACTATTCACCCTGTGTATCTGCCATGCCATTTACCTGCTCAACTTTCTTAATTTTTAGAATCCATATTCTCTTTACTCTTGACACAGACCTGGGAAACCTTCTGTTACCTGCTCCAAAATACACATGTCCTCCCTTTCCCAAGTTTCTCTGGCAGTGATAATATAGAAGTTGAGCTATATAGTAGAGCTATGGTGTCCATGTGGGAAGGAACTTCTCTTTTAGGACTTCTGTAGTCTACAATAAAGTCACAAATCAGAGCTGGGGATTTTTAATATCTATAATTGGGCTTACTTTAAAGAAATTGAAATGTTGTACATGTCAGTATCCTTAAAAACCACCCACTTAAAAGTAGACTTAAATCGTCAACATAAACTTAGATAAAAATATTGCTTCATCCTGAAATTTTAATCCATGGCCATTTTTCTCTTTCCTCCTTTCTCTTAATTCTACACAGTTTTGTTCCCTCTTAGGCAAGGCCTTTCAGCAGAGAACACCATTATTAGTATCTCATGTTTCCTTAGCACACCCTGGTCCATAGTTGGGCCTTGAGAGACTGACCTCTGATTCTCCCATGTATCATTTCTTAGGGTCCTGTAATCTCTGATGTGATCAGCAATGTGAAAAAACAGGGTTATCCCCCTACAAACTGTCAATGACAGGAGATTCCTCACATACAAGCATCACACCCTTCAGACCAGCTTAGTATACCCTCCCATCTAACCACCTGCACCTCCACATATCTGGCTCCTATGACCTCACTCCTCAGCACATACTACATACCCTCTTTTTTCATCGTATCAAACCAAGAGAAAAATAAACTCCCTATTCTCAAGCAAATAATTATAATATAAATAACAATCATTATTAATTCATTGTTTTTTCCTTAAGTCCCCAAATTTGTTCATTGTCCACAGTGTGTGACACCCTAGTCTTTACTAAATCTCTCTTCCTAAATGTCCCAAACAAAATTCCAGAGATTGCTCTGCATCACTAGACTATGTTTATTTTCTTTATAGAGTCCTCAACATCATTTAACTGAATTAAATGACGAATTTCAATCTTCACCTCCCATCAAATTCTGGAAATAGAATCCAGTACATTTTATGCATAAATCTTCAAAGTTATTTTTACTGTTTGGTATTCATTTTATGACTCCAATTTTTCATTCATTAGAGCTAAAATCCATACTATTTTTCAGTTTTATAAAGAATGGGAATTTGTTAGTCTTCTCTAACTCATCTGGGCTGGAGTCATTCTAAGTTACTCTGTGCTGATTCATATTTATTTTTCTTCCTTTGATTTAGAAAAAAATCTGTCTGAAAGGCCTTGCCTAAAGGAGGGAACGAGAATACGTAAAATTAAATAGGGTTTCCTAACTATTTATGCGTCTATCATCCCAAATTTAGTGTTCAGAATTCAAAATAATTATACCCTATACATGAGAAGAAGAAAAAAGTCACTGAAATAATAGTAATTTAATAATGGTCCCAGGTAACAAGTAGAAGGAATTGGACAGTTAAATGCCCCTAGGAGTCTGTCCAAGTTCAAGGTTTTATATATCTAAGTGCAATTAACCATGTTGTATAATAGAACCACACAGACAAATTGATAACTTTAAATGTGAACATTGGGCACATTTGATTACCCCAAATGTACATACAGAAGATCCTTGAATGCATAATTCCAATAAAATCAATAATAAATATGGGATTGAGCCAATTTCCAACTGCATTACCAAGAGTGATTTAAGCTACTGAAATTTATTTTCCAAGATTCATGAGTTAAAGGACAATGGAATGCATTTTAACAGCTTTTTCATATTTTAAATTTAAATGATTTTTAAATAACAATAGGAAGAAAATTAAAAAGTAACAGATTATTTGAAAGTATCTCATGATCTGATAGAAACAATGCAAACTATTTAAAAAAATTCATCTCTAGCACAGAAGTTAAATAAAGTCAGTAACAACAGGGCTTTTACCAGTTATGGGTCTGCTCATTTGATTTAATGCTATGAAAAGCATCCATTATTTATGAACCAGATCCTTTTAGATCCTTTAATTCAATATTCAGAAATTCATGTAAGAAATTCATGGGTAACAATAATCTTAAAATTATATGGCTGCAGCATTATTGAGGAGAAAAATTAGTGTTTGATATATGTGTTAATTATATATTATGGTTATTTAGTAAATGACATTTCCATTGAAGTTAAAATTAATGCACAAACCTCTCATTATATTTAAAGTACCCAGAGTTTTAGAACTGAGATAATGTCTACAAAAATAATGCACGTAGTTCTTCACCAAGTATTTTCACTGGATTGTTCAGTTATTGTACCCTTGCATTAATTTCAATATTTTTTTTCTTTCAGGGCGTGATTCTCATTCACCAGACTCAGGTACAGAAAAGATATTCTGATAACTATTACATTTATTATGAGGATTTTTTTTTTACGTATCCATAGCCACATTGTTGATCTCATGTTAAACTTAAATTTTATATATTGCTATGCATTTTTAAGTGAAAATTCTAGTAAGAATGCTTCCATTTTAGAAATAAAAATAAATTTTCTGAAAAAAAATGTTTATGTGAACCCAGATATTTTTGTATCCAATTTGTTTTCCCTTAATAAAAGCGTGGAGATCTTACAATGATCGAAATCAAGAGACACTGAACGGAGATGCTACATATTCCTCTCTTGCAGCAAAAGGTTTTAGAAGTGTTCGACCAAACCTGCAAGAAAAGAAATCACCAACTCAGGTAATCCTGCACACTCTTCTTTACTGTGTTACTTTAAAGCATGGTTATTAAAGAGAATCTCTTTCTTAGCAACCTCTTTCTTAGTCTTTTCTTTTTAATATACATTTGCTTTTGAATTTGCTTTGTTTGCCAGACTTCTATTTACAAGGAGAACAAATTTTAAGTTCAAAACAAGTGTTTCATGTTTTTTATGGGTTTTTGTTTTGTTTTGTTTTTTTCTGATTAAGCTCATAAAAGTAAGCCATCTTCTAACAGAATGTTTAGGATACATTCCAATTCTTAAGAAGCTGGCAGCTGATGTTTTGGATTTCAAAGTCATAAGGTTAACAATACATTATGTGTTCAATAAATACGAGTTATGCAACTATTCACTCTGAAAACTAAAGGGACTCTGTGTTGAAGATTTGAGTAAAATTGTGCCACAAGCATGAAAAATATTATAAAACTATGTGACTAATTAACCATAGACCTTGAAGTCTAAAAATATGCCAAGAGAACATATGTTCATTTTTAACATAATATCCCAGAATGTGGATGGAGGCAACTTTATAATATTATTTTTTTAAATCAGGGATTAAAGCCAGGGGCACTTAATCAATGAGATACATTCTCCAGCCTGTTTTATATTTTTCTTTTGAAATAGGATCTTGCTAAGTTGCTTAGAGCCTCGCTAAGTTGCTGAGGCTGCCTTTGAACTTGTGATCCTCCTGCCTCAGCCTCCCAAACCACTAGATTATAGATGTGCACCCTTGCTCCTGGCTAAAATAGGAATTTTTATAGGAATGAAAATGATAATTTAATATAGCCAACAGAATGTAAAGCATAGTGAGAAAAGAGAGATTGTTCTACCTTTAAGGGCAGGTTTCTTTCATGACTAACTTTGACTTTCTCTGTTTTTCCTTCAATGTTATTTCTTTTTCCGGATGCTTTTGGCCATCTAGGCACCCCTTCCACCAGCCAGAAAAGAGAGCTCTTGTAGCTCCTTGATAACCAATCACAGAAAGCCTGATATTTTAGACTCATTGGTAACTAACCCACAAACCCCTTCCTGTACAGAATACTTTACTAACAAAGAGCCTCTTCACACAACTATGCATTCTAATGACAATTCTAGCCAGACAATCGTATATTCTGAAGAATCCAACACAACTATGTCATATACACAAAAAATCACTAATCCTCTCCCAGCAGCTCCCAGAATAGGTTCTGCTCCCTTCGCTGACAGTACCCCATTGCTACAAGAGGACTACACACAAGATTCTCATACTCGGAGAATTTCTACCATGAAACTAACTCAGAACCAGGATCTAGGAAGTAGCAACCCCATGAGTTCTCCACAGTTCTCCAAACCTATTGAAGTACCATTATTTCTCAAAAGGCCTTCCTCACCACCCCCTAACCCAGAGCCCGAGATACACACAGCATCTCTTTCCATTCAAATAGCTCCCCTTTCAGGAAAAGATCCTGAAAGCCACAAACAGCATCCTGAGCTTCCTCCAGAGACTACAAAGATACCTCCTCAGCAAGAGAAACAAATGTCTGCAGTTGCTGCGGCCTCTCAGTCCTCAGACTGCCGGGTGGTACATTACACTTTCCAGTCTCTTCTTCGTGTGCATAATAGAGACTCTAACTCCTTTGGTTTGGGCTTCTTACACAAACTAATGCTTTGTTTGTTTCCAAGTAGGAAGGAAAAGGAGAAAGAAACCATCTTACAGTTAGAATTTAAAAGTTGACTAAATCTACCAGTAAATTTCCAGGTATATTTTAATTAAACACACACACACATACACACACACACACACACACTTTTATCCAGAAATCAGTTCTAGAAATTTCTTCCTCCTAGATATATTTTAGAAATCACTGAAGGGTCAGTTCTTTAAGACACTGCAAACCACTTCAATACTTAAAGTACTTTCAGATTTCAAAGAGATTTTTATCCTACCAGATGTTTTGTTAGCTAATTTTATTTGAGTGTACACACTTTCTTAAGATAATTGTCAATAATTCACTCTAGCAGGAAATGTTCATCACAGTATCAAGCACTGTTTATTCCTTTGTAGCTCAATGTTCATTTTGACTGAAACTAGATTAGTTTATCATGTCAGAAAGTATAGTGAACTCATCAACTTTTATTACCCGCATTTTTAGGAAGCAAAGATTTTCATGTATGTAAAATTCTGTCGTAGCATCATTGTGTTGACACTTATTATTTGTTTAGAAGAGAAATGAGCTCCTTTATTTTTGGATTTTCCATGAAATATTGTAGTGTTCAGAGCAGAAACTTGAAGAACAAACTATATAATTTAATCCAGGCTCTACCACTGACTGTCATGAAGAATCCATTACTAAATTTTCTGGAGTCTGAACAAAGAAATCAGAGTATTAACTCATAGGTCGTGGGAAGACTGGGAAGCTATTAGAGGTAATTTACTCAGGATAGAGCGAACACTCAATAAATGATAACCACTAATGAAAAACATAATACTAGCAGTAGTAGCAGTCATGAAAGTATTGAAAACAATAGGACCTAAGTAAATAGCTTGTATAATACTATTTACTGCAGCTGAGTTGTTAAAGATAAACCACAACACAACTTTGAAGAGAGTCTTCAATAGATATCTGACACCAAGATCCTCCTATCCATTCATAATGTAGAAAACTTAGCTAATCATAATATACAAAACTCATTCAGGAGGGCAAACTTTTTGGATTAACATTAATATCTTTGGAGAGCCCACATGTAATAAGATAATATCAATAATAAAAGCAGCTAATAAATAATAAGGTTTTCCCATATGCAGGCGTTGCCCTATTGATTATTTCCATAGTCAATATGTATTTATTATTACAACTATTTTATAGATAAGGCAACTGAGGCACCAAAGTGAGTTGCTTCCCCAGTCAGAATACAAACCCAATGGCCGCAGAGCTTGTCCTCAGAAGAACTATGATACCTCTCATTGTGAAATAGTTAACTCACTAGTGACAAGGAGACATGGGGCTATGACATAAGGAGAAATAAGGCAGATGTCTTGATGGGGCCCAAGAGCTCAGGATGGTCTGAAGAAGCAAAATCAATCTGAGCCTGTACAGCCAGAGCTGTGCTAGCATCAGGAAGCTGACTTGGGTCTCAGGATGTGTCCCTACAGGAAGCAGTGGTCGGCGAAGTCACAGGGACATTTAGAATTATTGGACTCATCTAATATAGTTTGGTTCCTCAAAATGGTTTTATTATGTTTGAAAACCTAAGTTTGATCATTTCCATGGTTTTGTCACTATCCAGGCTGACTGGAGATAGTGGGTCTCCACTATCTAATAAATATTAATCAACTTCTATCCGCCAGATTTTTAGGAAGTAAAGATTTCCATATGTAAAATTCTGTCATAATATCATTGTGTAATTGATAATTACATAATCCCCAGAGGATTAGCATGATCCCAAAGTTAAGATTCAAGATTCTGCTACTTTTATTCATTCAACAAATATTTATTGGGTACTTGCTATATGTCAAGGTTCTAGTGACAGCTGGAGTTGAAGCCATGTTTGTGGGGGTGGGAGGCAAATGTTAATAAAAACTTAAGTAATTTATCTACATTAGAAAGACATTACTCTGTGGAAACGTGATTAAGCAATGCTACGCACAGAGATGGGGCGCACAGGCCACATTAAAACAGGTTAGTCAAATAGATATCACTGAAAGGACAGAACAGCATTGAAGTGGGGACAAATATTCTAGACAGAGGGAATATCCAGTGCAAAGACTTTAAGGCTGAAGCATGCTGCTGCCATTCAAGGTCCAAGGTCGGACCAGCAAGGAAGCCAGAGAGGAAGTGAGGCCTAGAGTAATAGGAGGTGGAGTCACAGAAAACAAAGGCCAACTGACCGAAGTCCTTGGAAGCCACTGCAAAGATTTTGACTCTTATCCTCAGTGAAAATGGGAATCGCTGAAGGATTTTGAGGCTGCTACTATAATTATTTGACTTACATCCTAACCAACTCATTCTAGCAGGAACATTTAGAACAATTGAGAACAAACCTACCTTAGGGCCAGAAAGCGAGCAGGCAAACCCATTAGGAAAATATAAATTTGGTGAGAAACAATGGTGACTGAAATCCAGGGGGAAGCAGTAGGGGTGGTGAGAAATTCAACTCTGTGGCTGTATTTCAGAAGTACAGTACAAGGGACTTCCTGGCAGATTGCTCATGGGGCGTGAGAGGAAGAGTCAAGGTTGACATCAGCTGAGAGGGTGGTGTTGCCATCAACAGAGACCAAACAACCATGGGCAGAGCAGTCAGGGGAAACAGATACTATTTGGGGCATGGTTTTTTCTTTCTTTTTTCTTTTTTTTTTTTTTTTTTTAGTACTAGGGATTGAACCCAGGGTCACTGAGTCACATCCCCAACCCTTTTGTGTTGTTGTTATTATTGTTGTTGTTGTTGTTGTTGTTATTGAGACAGGGTGTCACTAAATTGCTTAGGATCTCGCTAAGTTGCTGAGGCTGGCCCCAAACTTGCAATCCTCCTGCCTCACCCTCCAGTGTCACAGGATTCCAGGGGTGCACCACCACATCCAGCTGGGACATGATAACTTTGAGGTGTCTCTAAGACACCCACAGGGAGGGGTGAAGTGTGCAGCTGGATACAAGAGTCTGGAATTCAGGAAATAAGGCCAGGTTCTTGGTTAAAGCCATCAGTTTACAGATGTTTCTCGTAGTCTTGAGACTGAGTGAGGTCAACAGGGAACGAGTGTGGAGAAAAGAAGATGCCCCAAGAATTGAGCCTAAGCAAATCCCAACATCAACAGGAAAAACCAGCCCAGGAGACTGAAAGCCATGTTCTCAGAGGGAGGAAATCCAGGGATCTGGGGCAAGTGAATAACAAGAGAGGAAATCACACAGAGAAGGAATAGTTCACTGCGCAAGTGCTGCAGACCAGACGGGGCAAGGGTAAGGGGGAATTTGAAAACCTAGTCTTGACTTTTGGAGTGCAATTAAGAAAGCCTGGGAGGAGAGCAACTAGACTGTCAGATCTTCCAAGGAGATATTAACATAGGACCTTCTGACTAGTTATTCTCCCTTCTTGAGCCTCAGTTTGTTCATCTATTAAATGGAGCTAAGAATAGCATTCATCTCCTACAGTTGCCATGATGTTTAAGTAAGATAATGCATATAGGAAGGTTGGCATAGTGGCTGCTACCCAGTAATTCTTCAACATAAAGTAACCGTTATTATTTTGAAATGATGTCATTTTTACAAATTATGGACCTGATCGGGGAAAAGAAATATATTATTTTTAAGAATACTTCATTTTTATACTGGTAAATAAGACTTTTCTTCATCAGGCTTATAGTTTGTTTCAAGATAGAGAGTGTCCTAACAGTCAAAAAAGGAAGCATAAAGGTGTTGCAGTTTTAATTGTCTTATTTTTTTATTCTGGTAAGAACAGGTACCATGAGATCTACCTCCTTAACAAATTTGAAGTGTCCTCTACAGTGTAGTCAACTACAGGCATAACGTCATACAGCAGATCTCTACAGTTCACTCATCATGCATAAATGAAATTCTGCACACATTGAAAGCAATTCAATTCTACCTCCCCACAGCCCCTGGCGAATACCACTCTCCTTTCTGCTTTCATGGGTTTGACTGTGTTAGATGCCCCACATAAGGGGAATCATGTAGTATTCATCCTTCTGTGACTAGTTTATTTCACTTACATAATGTCCTCCAGATTCACCCAGGTTGCAACATATTGCAAGATTGCCTTTTTTTTAATGCAAAAGGATATTCCATTGTATGTATATGCTACATTTTCCTTATCAATTCATCTATTGATGGACATTTAATTTGTTTTCACATCATTACTATTGTAATATACATCATCTTTAACCCTCATTTTCCATTTAATGGTTTTTTACACAGGTGACCTTTCCATTTTAAATACTTACATTTCACATTCTTGCAAGAAATCTTAGTAAACATCAAGCACTATAAGCCATACTCCATAAATCAGTTAAACATGTGCTACTGTAAAAAATTAGTTTCCCAAGAAATCAGAAGACCAAGAAACAAAAGCAATCTACACTAAGGACTGGAAAACAAATTTTAATATTGTAGAAGTTTCATTTACATATGATTGTTATTATGAAAGTCTGACTGTTAGTGTAAATAGATGACTATAGGCTACTGTTTGAGGAATTCTCTCCATATCTGACAATTTGACATACGGTTTGTCAACTGCACATTTTAAAATTTACCTCCCACAAATTTATGTATAGAAAGACGACAAATGAGGCATGTTATCCTTCTGTTGCTGTGTGAACAAATATACCGTTGCTAAAATTGTCACACTGTTCTCAGTGTCAGATGTGTGAAAGTCTAAGCCAGAAGCTTTGAAAAGACAGCAAAAAGCTACACCTGGTCTTTGATGGCGTTTGTACATGCTGTGCTCTTTGCATCTAAGGGATAAACTTGGCCCTTCTGTTATGAAACAACATAATCAATCATTTGCCAAAGACTTCCACAGCAACTACTGCACATATGTTGGGGACACAAAGGGGAATTTATCTGACTGTCA